TAAAATTATGCCAAAATTATCTCAAACCTTCCTCTCCAGACAAGAATATAGAGACTCTTAGTAAGGACCAATGACGAAATTTCCCTAATCATGCTACTATAAAAATGAAATTTTTAAAAAACATGCAAACGTTTTTTTTTGAAAACACAATCCGTAAATTCAAAATCATTGTAATATCTATCACATAGCGTATGGTTCTCATTGAACTAAGTATCACCATAGCAAAAACCTCTTCATTTTCCTTTAGATCAAATTTATATTGCCAGTTTATTAACATACGCAACGCGAATTAGTTTTGAAAATTGTCAAAAGATCGTTACAATAGAGTTATTACTAAACTGATTGCTGAAACCTATCTGACTGCATAGATAAATCCACAAGTCCTAAGAAATTCATCCTAATTATGAATCTCGAATCACTAAGACGTATGTTGTACTTTCTATCACCTGGGTTCCTTATTTTGCTTGTTCTTTTCCAAATGGTACTTGGTGCGCTTCGTATCAACGGACTCTTTTTATTAGAACAATATAACAGCTCGTACAATAATTTTACGAACCCATCACCATTCGATTCGAGTAACCAGGTAAAGGCAGCATTCATCATTGACTGATTTGCATCTATCAATGCTGCTTTAATGGGACTTTTCATTGCAATTCTATTCATAACTTTACCATTCTATTGTTGTGCTATAATCTGCATGGAAGCCTCACAACCTGAGCATGAGCGGAAAGCATTTAAGTCCACTTGGGGATTGGGTACAGCAATCCTTAGATTTATAACTCACTCATGTAACTGTCCATGGTATAAGGCAAGACCTCAGTTGCGCTTTCGAATTCGTCTAGCCTTCATGATGATATCTGCTGTGTTGCATACAATCTGCACGGTTTTGTATGCAACAGACAGAAAAACGAGTTATCCACTTATAGCAATAGCAGTGGAGAGTGGATGCTCGTTATTATGCGTGTTGTCCACTATTGGCATCTACTATTTCCAGTATAGAATATGGTGGTATTATCGACCAGATGGAGCACATATTAAGGGTATTTGTTGTTGTCGCATGGAAGAGTCTGATTCTAGACACGAACGGTTTTTACCGGCTCCTCTCGCAGCAAAATATCGTGACCCAAAGGAAATCGGAAATCAACCGTGTGCATATAGTGCAAATGGAAATTGTCCTAATCTTTCTCTTCAACATATTGCTATATTTCATGCATATGATTTCATGCCTCAACATCGATACGATAACGGAATACATACAACTTATTTTGGGTTTCATCAAACGAGTCCAGAAGCCGCTGTATGCATTGCTCGAGAAGGTTTCAGAATGAGTACCACAGGTCGTCTAATGTTGGGTCATGGTGTTTACTTCGCTCGTTCATTCGCAGGCACCGAGGGAAAGGCTCGCCATAAGGGTAAGATAAGTCATTTTTATGAATGCTTTTCTTCCGAATCATTTATTCATCATATAATTAAGGAGCATTGATTTGTGCCGAAGTTCGCATGGGAAATGTATTGCCAGTTGTTTACGATACCTTGCATACCGTATCGAATTCTGATGCATGGCATCAGACTCATGATACTGTGTATTATTATCATCGACAAGAACATCTCGACGAATTCTGTGTCAAAGATCCAAATCAAGTACTAAAATGGATTATGATTATGGACGATGACAATGTAAGACGTTATGGACTTCATCAAGCATTTCAGAATACTTTATTTGGATGTATTTAACTACTTGTTTAATATATAAGTTCCTTCTTGTAATTGTCCACTAAAGTGTTGATTTTTATCTTTTGAAATAAATCATAATATTTTCTGACAATCGGCGTAAACACGATCGATTAAGAAAGGGTGTGGATGTCGGTCTCGGTGTGCCTCAATGGGAGCAGATAATCTACATACACATTCACACCCTCGACGTTGAGAATTAGTCGCTGTAAGGTATATTGATTTATGAATAATATATGAAATTTATCAAGTAAGAATGGTATGATCAGGTAATTCTAGGATTTGCTTATGTACATTGTATTGCTTATGTATATATTTACAGACTAATTGGATACTAACGGTTGTAGGAATTATTATCCCACTACCTTACGATTGTGCCTTATTTCGTTGATGGATTTACCAAGAGTTCTATTAGTCAAGATGCTCTGCAAGTAAGCAAAAAACTATGCAAGACGACCGGCATGAATAGTTCGAAATATCCGCAACACCTGTCAGATTCAGTTTGAAACGTCTTGCGTATCCATGTCTAGTCTGTTTTGTCCGTTGAACTCTTCCAAACTAGTTTGAAGATTGAACAACGAAGATAAACGGTGAATTTGAACATCCAACGCGACAGTATATGAAATTTAGCGGGCATCCTGACGGTAGATCAGAACAGTGGGATAGACTGATGTCAGTTTATATAGTCTAAATCACAAATTGATTCCCGTTGATCCACTAGACAATCAGAGACCATTCGATATTAAACGACTTTGATTAGTCTGAAATGTCTTCGATAGTAGTGAGGATTAGTCCAAAGCTTCATCTAGACTGGTCATGACTAGTCCATTTTTTGAACACTGCGTCACTCATC